GGGGCGCCTGGGTGGCTCAGTCGTTAAGGGTCGGCCTTCGGCTCAGATCGTGATCCCAGGGTCCTGGGATCAAACCCCGCATCGGGCTCCCTGCTCAGTGGGAAGCCTGCTTCTCCCTCTCCCACTGCCCCTGCTTCTCCCGCTCCCACTCCCCCTGCTTGTGTTCCCTCTCTCCCTGTGTCTCTCTCTGTCAATTATTTATTTATGTGACAGAGAGAGAAACAGCAAGAAAGGAAACACAAGCAGGGGGAGCGGGAGAGGGAAAAGCTGGCTTCCTGCCTAGCAGGGAGCCCAATGGGGGCCTAATGTGGGGCTCGATCCAGGATCGATCCCAGGAGCCTGGGATCACTACCTGAGTCCAAGGCAGATGCTTATCGACTGAGCCACACAGGCGCCCCTCTTTTGTTGTTTTTTTTAATAAGAGACATCCTAATCAGTGTAAGATGTGTGACATTTTTTTAAAGTTTTATTATATTTTTTAAAAGGTTTTTTTTTTTAAGATTTTATTTATTGGGGCTCCTGGGTGGCTCAGTCGTTAAGGGTCTGCCTTCGGCTCAGGTCGTGATCCCAGGGTCCTGGAAAAAGCCCCGTATCGGGCACCCTGTAGAGTGGGAAGCCTGCTTCTCCCTCTCCCACTCCCCCTGCTTCTCCCACTCCTACTCCCCCTGCTTGTGTTCCCTCTCTCACTGTGTCTCTCTCTTCGACAGAGAGAGACACAGCAAGAAAGGAATCACAAGCAGGGGGAGCGGGAGAGGGAGAAGCAGGCTTCCCGCCGAGCAGGGAGCCCGATGTGGGGCCCGATGTGGGTCTTGATCCCAGGACCCTGGGATCATGACCTGAGCTGAAGGCAGACGCTTAACGACTGAGCCACCCAGGCACCCCTCCTTATTATTATTTTTTAAAGTTTTTAATTTAAGTAATCTCTACACCCAACATGGGCCTCGAATTTACAATCCTGAGATCGAGAATCCCATGCTCTACCGACTAAGCCAGCCAGGCACCTTTTTTTTTAGATATTAATGTTATTTTCCAGCTGATTGCTAAAATTATACATATGTGTGTGTGTATACATATATATATATATATATTTTTTAACTCATTTAATCCCTGAGTCAACCCCGTGAAAAGAGCTACTCCTCTTTTATCAAGTGAGGAAAAGGAGGGGCCTGGAATTACAGGAACTTGCCCAAGGCACACGGTGTCTGAGCCGGAACCAGGACTGCAAGCCAGATTCCCAGAGTCCCTGCTCCTGGTCTTTTCACTCCCTCCCGCTGACCTTCAGGAAAGGGAGGCCCGGGGGGTTGAGTGGGGCCTGACTACGACTCGATCCTGGTTAGCCTTAGTATCTGGGACGGTGGCTAGCCCAAGGAGATGAGCAGAGCGGCCCGGAAAAAGGCGGCCAGCAAGAACATAGGCAGGAGCCCTGCCGACAGGGGCTTGAAGGATGCTGCAGAGGAGGAAGGAGCCATGATGTGGGGGCAGAAGGAGGGGGTGATGTACCAGCACCTCTGCTGAAGCCAGTGGACCCCGAGAGTGCAGCCAGGCCTCCGTCCCCAGAGCCTGGAACCAGCCCCGGGAAAGGGGAGTAGAGAGTATCGGGCCTTTGGTCTAAGCCCTTAAAGGCCTCCCAGGGTTGTCCCTCCTTACCCTAGGCTGCCATGGACCCAGGACGGGCAGGAGAGGGCCCAGTGTGTAGACTGGGCTTCTGGAGGATGCAGCTGATACTGTACCCCACTTCCTTGTGCTCATGACTCCAGTCTTGGGAACTGGATATGGGGCACAAGGCCTACCCCGTTCCCTGCTCTTCCCAGTTCCTGGGGCTGAGGGCCCGGCACAGAGGGGGTTAAGGGCCCTGGAACCTTTGCCTGGCGGAGGGGGGGCACGGGGAACTGTCACGAGGAGCCTTGTCTGGCCCGATAATCCAGGCAGCCTATCTCTTCCATAGCAGCTGTGAGGCAGACAGGTTGTCCCGGTAGGGAGGGAGGCAAGCAAGGGCCTGGCTGATGGCGGGAAGGATTTGAGGAGGGAGGGACACCCAGGCTCCTTGGGGATCCTTTCCCACCCCATAGCCACCTTCGGGACTGTGCCTGCAGGCCAGGGGTCAGGGCCCAGGTCTGAACGTGGGGGTTCCCACTGACCCAGAGACTAGGAGGGGGAGCTGATGAACAAACGGACTCAGGGAGGTTTGATGGGGAAGTTTCTTTTTCTGCCTCAGTGCGGGCCTGGGCAGGGGTGTGAGGGCTGCACTAGCACGTGGGTCTGCATAGGCGTCGGAGCGAGCACAGGGG